GGATGCGTCACAGCAGATTTGTCATTGGACTGGCAGGGAATGCATGTAGCGATAGTTGACTGGACCTGAGAGTCCATCTGCGGCCACCAGTAAAGATCCCGCAACCTCTGTTTTGTGCGGACTATTCCCTGATGAGACTCGTGTGCCAGGGAAATCAAGGTGTGTCGTAGGGCTACAGGAACTAACAACCTTGTTCCTCTGAAAATGAAAGCATCTTTCACTGCAAGCTCATCTCTCACTCTGAAGTATGGAATCATGTCCTGACTCACTGCTTTGATGGAGGGTGACCAGCCGTGTGTAATTTGCTTTCGCAGCATCTCCAGTTCAGGACAGGAAGCACAGGCAGTTTCAAAGTCAGTCACTGAAAGAGAACATAATGTAGAGGAAATTAATGCAACAATTTCAGGCTCTAATCAAAACATAGCAGACGTGCTGCCCAACGAGCAATCCGCATTCCGGCCCTCCCCATGCCTTTTGTAGTGAGTAAGGTGGTGAGTGCCTGATGGTCTGTGCGTTGTGTAAAGCGATGGCCCCACACGTACGTTCGCCATTTCTCAGTAGCCCACACACATGCCAGGGCCTCCTTCTCCACTGTAGAATATTTCTTTTCAGCATCAGTGAGTGTGCGAGAAGCGAAAGCCACTGGTTTTTCTGTTCCGTCTGATTGCACTTGGGTGAACACTGCACCCAACCCGTAGTCGCTGGCATCCGTTGAAATGACAGAATGCAGTGTGGGGTCATAAATGGCAAGGGCTGGACTGGACACAAGCATTTGTTTAATGTTCTCAAAACTGCTTTGAGCAGCAGGCGTCCAAGAAAATTGTCCCTTTTCTTTAGCGCACTCACGCATTGGAGCAACCACTGTCGCAAACCCAGGAAGGAATTTTGAGTACCAGGACACTAATCCTAGAAAGGATTGAAGAGATGCTGCATCAGATGGGGGCGGAGCTTCACGGACCGCATCCAGATGCTCTCGATCAGGTAGGATTCCATTAGCGCTGATTACATGGCCCAGAAACCGCAGTTAAGTCTGTTTGAAATTGCATTTTTTATAATTTAACACCAGCCCAGACTCTTTCAATTTCTGCAGTACAGTACTGAGGTTGAAGTCATGGTCCTCAGCCGATTCTCCATACACGATAACACCATCCAAGTAATTTTTGGCACCTGGCACGCCCTCCAGGATGGTTGCCATCATCTTTTGGAAAGCAGAGGGTGCCGACGCCAGGCCATAGGGAACCCTGCAATATCTGAACAGACCGTCATGAGTGATAAAAGCTGTAATATCTCTACAATCCTCATGCAGGGGAAGCTGATAGTATGCATTAGCCAGATCAATAGTAGAAAATACTGTAGCACCCCTAAGGCTGGTAAGCATTTCATCAATGTGTGGTAATGGATAACAGTCAGTAATGACAGCTTTGTTAACTTCTCTTAAGTCTGCACACATTCGTATTCCACCTGTTTTCTTCCCAGTAACAATGATGGGGGACACCCAGGCTGAAGCATCCACACGTTCGATGACACCTGCTTTTAGCAGACGGTCTAATTCAGCTGAAACAGACGCTCTGACTGCAAAAGGTAAGCGTCGCAATTTCTGACGCACAGGTTTTACTGTGTGGTCAATTTTTGCCTTGTGAACAAAGTTCTTTACACATCCTATTTCAGTATCTGTCAGGGATGTGGTATTGGTGGCCATGACAGAAGTGCAGATATTATCGCCCTTTATTTGAAGTTGTAGGGCAGAAATCAAGTCCATGCCTAACAAAGCAGTCCCTTTATCCACAACGAAGAATGTGGCAGCAGCTGACGCGTTTGATACACACGCTTGTGCTCGCAGACATCCGAGTACAGGTATGTATTCCTGTGTATAAAGCCGCGTTTCCACCGCAATTACCAGGAACTATTTGTCCCAGGAACTTTTTTCATAGGAACTTTTTTTGCCCCAGAACGGTTGCTCACTGCGTTTACACCGTGGACTAAAGTACCGGGAAGATTAGTCTGGTGACGTTGAACTGCGTGCGACTGCTCCTCCCAGTCTGCGCGTACTTGTTTTGAGTTTTAAGTATTGAGGAGATTCAAGCTGTGCTGTTTTTGTGTGCGATCTATTGGTTTACTAACGAGGTAATTAACAAAACGGCAGAAAAGAGACGAACACTAATACCAAAGCGTATTCATTTCAGAAAGCTTGTAATGCTAGCGTTTGTTATCAGCTAACTTATAGCGGACATGACCGTGAGATGGATGGGACGAACGCGCGCCATCCGGCAGAGAGAACAAGGTAAAAGAACCAATCAGCATGTTCAGCGCACAAGTCCCACCCCGAAAGTTCCTGAACTCTGAAAAAGTACTACCTCGCCAGCAGGGACTTTCTGGGGGGGAAATTTTTACCCGGAACTTCATTTAGACCCTGGTTCCTGCGGTGTAAACACACGGAGTACCACCCCAAAGTTCCTAGTTCCTGGGGAAAGTTCCTGCGGTGGAAACGCGGCTTAAGTCACCAGACGGATGGCAGGTTTTGATAATTGTGTGGCACTGAAGTGATGTTTATAGATGTGAAGAGGCAGTATAGACACAGAAGAACCTGTATCCACAACGAATTGTACTGTGGTGCCAGATGAAGCAGGAGTATTGACAGTCACTTTGCAATGCAGTTTATTTGGCACTTCGGCAGAGTTCTCTAGATACAGCACTGTGACGTCATGTACTCGCACCTTGCGCACATCACTCGCTGAGGCTGAACGACACACACGAGCAAAATGTCCCTTCTTGTTGCATAGTTTACAAAACACTTTTGCAGCTGGGCACTGTGCCGAGTTAGCTAGGTGTCTGTCTGAACCGCATCTGAAACATGACTTACGGGTTGAAGAAGCGGGGGCAGCAGTCGGATGTGACCAGGGTTTCCCTCTCGCGTGCTGTGACTTGACTTGTACAGCTCGCATTGGAGCATCTCTATCGGCCGTCATTCTCTTTGCGTGCTCAGCCGCGGCTTCTAATTGTGTTGCAAGGGTAGTTGCTTTTTGTAATGTCAGGTCCGGCTCGAGTAACAGTCTCTGTCTAATATCATCACTGTGCAAATGTTCCAGCAATTGATCGCGGATCATATCATCCCCTTTATCACCAAAGTCACAGTTAGCGGAAAGTGCGTGGAAAGCAGCAACATACTGTTGTATGTTTTCGTGCGAGGCTTGTACTCTTTTTCGGAACGTATGCCGTTCCACGACAACATTAATTTTAGGCATGAAGTATTTTTTCAAAGCATCAACAGCAGAATCGTATGTCTGACCGGTGTCTGGCAATGCGTAAAAGATCCGTTGGCCCTCTGCGCCCAAACAGTGAAGTAATGTTGCCCTCCTCCTAGCTACAGGCCATGCATCACCCACTGCGTTGATTACCGTCAAATAGTTATCAAACATGCGCATCCACATGTCGAATGGCATGGTAGGCTCTCCCGGGCAAGCCAGGAACATTGACGGTGCAGAGACATGCACGGACATGGTTGATCAATAACTTTATACCAAACTTAGTATCCTCGTCGCCAATTTGTTACGTTTTGGATGAGCAGTAAGCACGACACCGTATGTCTTCAATGACTCGTTTTTATTTCCATCTTAACTCCACATGTGTTCGACCATAACTCCACATGTCTAACTTTACCCATACTACTTCTTCTTCCACCCACTCCTCTAACCTCTTACAACACAGCGTCTCTAGAGGTAGCATTAGGAATTACAGTATGGGACACAACAGATAATCAACACAGAACCGGACTGAGCCCAATCACTGTAGGATTTCTCTATCACTCCTATATATAGCATAGCCTCTAATGCAGCCACTTTCTTTTTATGTTCAGGTAACCTATATGGCCTGCTGCAAACTACTACACCCCAACCCCATAGAGAAGCTCGAAGGGGGAAAACACTGTGGAGGCTTGCGGGACCTCGCGTACAGCAAACAACAGGGGTTCCAACCATGTCTTTAATGTCTGTTTGTGGGTGATAGATGCTGGTGCGAATCGACTTCATGCCCAATAATTCATACATTTCGTGTAGCATACGTGGCATAAACGCCATGCCCTGATCAGTGAGATCATCTCTTTCGGGATCCCCACTCTGGAGATTAAACAATGCAAACACAACACCTTTTGCAGAAATGCTGCGGAGAGAAACTGCTTCAGGGTATCGTGTTGCATAATCCACCAGGACCAATGCAAAACGATTCCCTCGTGCGGATCGCTCTAATGGTCCGATGAGGTCCATACCAATTCTCTCGAAGGGGACTTGCATGAGAGGAAGAGGGCACAATGTTTTTTTACGGAAAAAACATTTTACGGAAGACAGCTTCCAGAATCTCCACGAATTCAATGCCGGATTCAACAAGAAACTGTTACTAAAACATGAAGCAGTTCCAACTTCAAAACCAGAGGCAGCAGTTGTTGGGCCACAACCTGTAAGTAAGACTTAATCATTTTATATGTATTTGTATGTATAATTTCAGACGTAATGTTTTAGTTTTATCAAGGACGTAAACAAATGCCAGCGCTGGCTTTAGTAACCACTTAGTTATGCTATTTCGTGTGTCAAACGCGTACAAATATTTTGGACCTGAATTTGTAATTATGTACTAATTTTGTGAATGTATTTTCCATTTATACTTTATGACGTAATTCTTCGATTTTGATCCAGAACGTAAACCAATGCCAACACTGTTTGTTTATAGTAGCCAGTTAGTTCGATGCTATTTTGTGTGTATAAGACAAACGTGTATAAAGTTCAAATAATTATATGTAATCGCAACAGCAAACTTCAGCTGCTGTTATCAGTGTGTACAGTATGGTTTGTTTATAGGTTTTATGTATTGTATGTATGTATTATGTAGCCTATTTATCAGGAGAAAACCGTATCTCAAAAGCTAACAAGCAGCAGTAGCATTTTCAAGTAACAGTGTATCGAAATTCTTATGTAATAATTGTAGAATAGAATAGAATAATAATGATAAAAAAATTTACCATTCAGAAACGTTTTGTAAGAGCCGTGTTTGGGGAGGTTCTGCTTGACTCTCTTCATCGCCGCTTTCTGGGTCTGATTCTGGCTCAAACTTCTTCTTCTTCTGGTGTTTAATGGCGGATTGGCAGACCAACATAAATGGTGCATTCCCGCCACCTACTGATCTGGAGTGTGGAGTATACTTGGCTTTGGAAGAAATGCTGGCTCAAACTGATACGGCAGTATCGACACCATTATTTACATTTGACCGGAGCACATGCAACTTTCGCCCGTAAAGGTAATGGGCGTGAAGTTTCCAGACAACATGCACTACACAGTTTAGCCAATTACAACACACCGGCCCAACTAACCAATCTGAGCCCATTGCCTGTTTCTGAGGGAGTGGTTTCATAGAATCAGGAAGTCAACCGGTCGTTCAAATGACAGAGGAGAAAGCGGCTTACAATAAAGGTGAAATTTATGAAAATAAGGCTTAAAAAAACAACAAAAAAAACACAGAGACATGTTATATTGCACCCAATAAACACAATCATGCAAAGAAAAAAAGCAGTAAACCACCCCTTTAATGTCTCATCCTGGTACTGTTCCAGAGGAAAGTCATCGCGCTCTGTGAGGTTCAGCCTCTCAAAAGCGCTCTGTTCCTATGGGTCAGTACCCAGTGGTCCCAGTACAGCTTCTCCCACCTGGGCAACCGCTCCTTTTAGTCAATAAATGACTAAAAGCAGGCCAATTTGTTCCCAAAATTAGCGGATGTCTGAGGTGCGGGCTGACTGCCACCTCCACACTATGCTTTTGTCCCCTAAATTGAATGACAGCGGAAATTAACGGATAATTCACCACATCCCAGTGCACACACCGTACCTTAACCAGGCGGCTCTTACCCAATGCCGAGGACTGTATCAGGCTTTGATGAATCGAGGTTTGGTTACATCCTGAATCCACCAAAGCCAGATAGGAACCCCCCTCAATACTCACAGGTATTTGGTACAACCCAGGTTGATTGGGGGCAGCCTGTGGTGCGTCCGGAACCCGGATCAGTGTCCCCACCTCCATGAAGTGAATCTACGAAGTGGCCCGGGTCGCCGCAACGCCAACAGGCCGACCCAGATTTCTGTGCTGCTCTGGTGCCAGGAAGTGGGTCAAGGCATTGGGGTGGAGAGAGAGAGGGAATGGGGACAGAGGACGGATGAGCGCTGGCCAGTCCAGACTCTCTCAGCAGGGCTCGGGGTCAAGTCAAGTCAAGTCAAGTTTTATTTATAGAGCAAGTTTAACACAACCGTAGTTGATCCAAAGTGCTTTACAGTACCATAAAATAAATCAATAAAATCAAAATAAAATAAAGAGAAAAGTAGTAGAAAAAAAGGAGATAAAAATCAAGTATAAAAATCATTCAGTGTATATACATACATGCATAACATAGAACACAGACTAATTTAAAATACATACACAACCTTACTCGAATGCAAGAGAGTAAAAATAGGTCTTTAAGCTGGATTTAAAAGCAACCAGAGATGGAGAGGTCCTGATGTCTAAAGGTAAATTGTTCCAGAGCGTTGGGGCAACTACAGAGAAAGCTTGATCACCTTTTGACTTACACGAGAGCGAGGGACAGATACAAGTGACTGATCACAAGATCTTAGTGACCTAGATGCTGTGTATGGCCTAATAAGATCACAAATATAATCTGGGGCGGAACTATGTAGAGCCTTGTAAGCAAAAAGAAGCATCTTAAAGTCAACTCTAAATGTTATTGGTAGCCACTGCATTGAGGCAAGAACAGGGGAGATATGATCTCTTTTCTTAGTTCCTGTTAACAATCTGGCTGCTGAATTTTGAACCATCTGTAATCGAGACAGTGTAGTTTGACGTAGGCCAACGTACAGAGAATTACAGTAGTCCAATCGAGAGGAAATCAGTGCATGATGTAGATCGGAGTTGAAAAAAGCAACTGCATTTTACATGCTTGTCAGATTGGAGAAGAGGATCAAAATAGACTCCAAGATTTTTTGCATGATTGTGTAGGTTGTTACTTAAGGGACCTAGCTGTGTTCCCGTCATCACGTCCGAGAGGGACCCGTTTCTCCACCGGGCTGGCCCACGAGACTGGAAAGTCATCCATCCAGCTCCGGAACAGCTCGCGGTCCTCCTGCTGGGCTTGGACGAGGGCTTGGAAGCGTCTCTCCTGATCATCCCTCATGTCCAGCAGCACCTTGTGTTGTTCTTGATGGAAGCCCGCGAGCGAATGGATTACCTCTGCAAATGGTGAACCTGACGGAGTTTCCATGGCGGCGGTCTTCTTCCTCCTGGGTTTTGGCACCAGTGTGGTAAAGTTCAGAGTAGGGCAAGGAAGAAGACAGGGGTCGGCTTACTGGGACTTACTGGTCCTCCGGCTCTCTCTCTCGTTGCAGACCTCGCTAAACCACGCCCCCCTTGCCACACTCTCCATTCTGTCACTGATGGAGTTTTGGCTCCTTGCCACTGTCGCCTTCGGCTGCTTAGTTGGGGACACTTAATATTCAAAAATATTATTGATCTCCTGCATTGACACCATTATATGAGAACTGAACTGAGCTGGACGATGACATCACGGTTTACTCCAGAACGGCTATATATATAAATCAACTAAATGAATAACTTTTTTACAACAAAAATGAACCATCACTGATCTTACTTAAGCTGGACTATGACGCTCTTTTCTTCTATATCTGCTGTACAGCAGACACAAACTTTGTTGCATTATTTTCCTGTTATCACTGTAAAGCTGCTTTGAAACAATCTGTATTGTAAAAACTAAAAGCGCTATGTAAATAAAGGTGACTTGACTTGATTTGATGGTTGTGGTTTGCTATTGGCTGATCTCATGTGAGTGACAGGTTGTCCCGACCTCGTCATCAGAGAAGAGATGCTGCAAGTTATTCTGATTCAAGATTACCTGGAACATGAATTTAACACAATAATGATGTGCACGATAAACCATTTACAATAAACTGTAATATCCCATTAAAAAAACAAGAATTTGATTTCATGGTGTTTTGGTTGGTGAGCAGCGGAAGCTCTGTAAGCTCCGCCCTCTCTAATGTTGATTTCACTTCTCCTTGTTCTCTGGAGACCAGTGTTCGTTTCACTGAGGATCATCTCATCATCTCATCTGGACTGGGATCATGGCATACCAATTCAAACTGGCTGAGAAACTTATTATTCTCAATGAACGAGGTCAAGGAATTCTAGTCAGGATGAACCACATTAAAAAGGTGAGAGGAAAATAGCAATATTCACAAACCTGTGAGAAAGGTGAATACAGGCAGGGCTGAATTTTGTTTGTGTGAACTTGCAGTGAATTTATGTGATAGATTCACATCAGATTGAACTGAATGAGCTGCTTTGCTTGTTGAATTGTTTGTAGAACCAAACGATGCTCAAATCTCACGTTTTTTAATCGTCCAGGTTTGGGTCTGTTTTTATCATTCAGATGGGATTTAAAAGTTGTTTGTATTCATTTTATTCAGAGGGCTTTTAAAAGTATATTTATTGTATTTTGACATGTTTTCAAAAGAAATTATGTTCCGTCTCAGTTTTGTAGAGAAAGAGGAAGTGCACACAGGAAGTAAAGAGGACTTGTCAGGCCTCTCTGTAAACCACATCTCTCTCACACACTGCATTTCCTGTCTGTCGCAGAAAGCAGTTACAAATGTTACTGTCAAAACTAATGCCAAGCTTTAGTGCATATAAATAAATGAATAAATCCTCTGAACGACTCCTCTTAGTACCTTTGCCTCCTCAGTGGGCCAGGCTGTAAAGGTCAAAGGTTAATCAGAGCTCTAGGTGAGGTGAAAAACAATATTTATCTCTGCTTGACATCCACAGTAAAATGTGTACTTCAGATGCTTCAGAAAGTCTGACAGAAAGGCTTGAAAGAGACTTGAAATATTTGATTTATGTTAAATCCATCCAATTGTTTATTCTTCATGACTACAATTTGTATGCCATTCACGGGTTTATCTCCCCCAAAAGTGAAAACATTGAGCATCCCAGATAGAAATCAAAACATTGAGAGCATCCACTCAGATCCTTCAATATCTTAGCTCAACCTATAGCGAGAGTTTGGGGAGTGGCTACTGTAGCAGACTGAGAGTATGGGGAGTGGCTACTGTAGCAGACTGAGAGTTTGGGGAGTGGCTACTGTAGCAGACTGAGAGTTTGAGGTGTGGCTACTGTAGCAGACTGAGAGTTTGGGGAGTGGCTACTGTAGCAGACTGAGAGTTTGAGGTGTGGCTACTGTAGCAGACTGAGAGTTTGAGGTGTGGCTACTGTAGCAGACTGAGAGTTTGGGGAGTGGCTACTGTAGCAGACTGAGAGTTTGGGGAGTGGCTACTGTAGCAGACTGAGAGTTTGGGGAGTGGCTACTGTAGCAGACTGAGAGTTTGGGGTGTGGCTACTGTAGCAGACTGAGAGTTTGAGGTGTGGCTACTGTAGCAGACTGAGAGTTTGGGGAGTGGCTACTGTAGCAGACTGAGAGTTTGGGGAGTGGCTACTGTAGCAGACTGAGAGTTTGGGGAGTGGCTACTGTAGCAGACTGAGAGTTTGAGGTGTGGCTACTGTAGCAGACTGAGAGTTTGGGGAGTGGCTACTGTAGCAGACTGAGAGTTTGGGGAGTGGCTACTGTAGCAGACTGAGAGTTTGGGGAGTGGCTACTGTAGCAGACTGAGAGTTTGGGGTGTGGCTACTGTAGCAGACTGAGAGTTTTGGGAGTGGCTACTGTAGCAGACTGAGAGTTTGGGGTGTGGCTACTGTAGCAGACTGAGAGTTTGAGGTGTGGCTACTGTAGCAGGCTGAGAGTTTGGGGAGTGGCTACTGTAGCAGACTGAGAGTTTAGGGAGTGGCTACTGTAGCATATTGAGAGTTTGGGGAGTGGCTACTGTAGCAGACTGAGAGTTTGAGGTTGACTGAGAGTTTGGGGAGTTTGGGGAGGGGCTACTGTAGCAGACTGAGAGTTTGGCCTGTAGCAGACTGAGAGTTTGAGGTGTGGCTACTGTAGCAGATTGAGAGTTTGGGGAGTGGCTACTGTAGCAGACTGAGAGTTTGAGGTGTGGCTACTGTAGCAGACTGAGAGTTTGGGGAGTGGCTACTGTAGCAGACTGAGAGTTTGGGGTGTGGCTACTGTAGCAGACTGAGAGTTTGGGGAGTGCCTACTGTAGCAGACTGAGAGTTTGGGGTGTGGCTACTGTAGCAGACTGAGAGTTTGAGGTGTGGCTACTGTAGCAGGCTGAGAGTTTGGGGAGTGGCTACTGTAGCAGGCTGAGAGTTTGGGGAGTGGCTACTGTAGCAGACTGAGAGTTTAGGGAGTGGCTACTGTAGCAGATTGAGAGTTTGGGGAGTGGCTACTGTAGCAGGCTGAGAGTTTAGGGAGTGCCTACTGTAGCAGACTGAGAGTTTGGGGTGTCGCTACTGTAGCAGACTGAGAGTTTGGGGAGTGGCTACTGTAGCAGACTGAGAGTTTGGGGAGTGGCTACTGTAGCAGACTGAGAGTTTGGGGAGTGGCTACTGTAGCAGACTGAGAGTT